TGTATTACTAAAACATTCGATCATGATTACAAAAAATTCTATCATAGGGTTACAAAAAAAAAAAAACAAAAATTCTATCATGGATTACAAGAAAAAAAACAAACATTTCGATCATGGATTACAAAAAATTCGATCATGGATTACAAAAAATTCTATCATGGGTTACAAAAAACAAAAAATTCGATCATGGATTACAAAAAAACAAAAACAATTCGATCATGGATTACAAAAAAATCGATCAAGTATTACAAAAAAATCTATCATGGATTACAAAAATACGAAAAAAAAAATAAAAAAAAAAAATCCCTAAGGACTCGCCGATTCACTGTTCCGACTCGCCGATTCCGTACAGTGAATCGGCGAGTCACTATACAGAATTGTCCGGTTCTCTCTAGAACCGGACGATTTCCGATTTTTCAGCCTATTCGATCCACTTTTGCGATTTCCTATTCGAACCGGGCGAGTTCGGTTCGACTCGGCGTTTTTTAAAACACTGCTTTCAACATTTGGGGGAACTTTATGCTAGGTCCAATACAAATACAACACCAGAGATAATATCCAAAAATAAATAAATAAAAAAATAAATCAATAAACAATTTACTCGGACCTTTTCTTAAATGACACAAAGGCCCTAAGGTTCCATACCAAATCCTATAGACCGAGCCATCTGGTGATCTGATTCACCTTGCATACCAACATTGAGAGTTTCGTTTTTGGTTAATCTTATTCACCTTGCATATCTCTTTCACTATTTTCTATCTAATTCTCTATACTTTTTCTTTAGGGGTTAACCTCTTTTTATAGAGAACACATTTGTTTTGTAACTCTCACATTCATGGCTTATAAGAGTTGAGATCCAAGTGTAACTCCTGATTTAATTAAGTGCAATAATTAAGAATAATAGGTTGCCACCAAACTATTAATTCTTTGTAATGTGCTGACCTAAAAATGTCATTAGTCCACTAATGACTCACATAATAGTATATCTTCCTAACATTCTTACAATTTGATAAAAGACATTTAGAAATGAATGTCTATAGGAGTTGAGATCCAAGTGTAACTCCTGACTTAATTAATTGCACCAATTATGATTGACAAGTTGTCACCAAACTGTTAATCATTTGTAATGAAATGAGCTAAAATTGTCATTAGTCCACTAATGATGCACATAATAGGATGTCTTCCTAGCATACTTAGAATTTGATAAAAGACAATTACAAATGAATGTGCATGTAGGAGTTGAGATTCAAGTGTAACTCATGACTTAATTAAATATAGCGATGATGATTAACAAGTTGTCACCAAACTGTTAATCCTTTGTAGTGAACTGAGCTAAACTTGTAATTAGTCCACAAATGATTTACATAATAGGATGTCTTTCTAGCATTCCTACATTTTGATAAAAGGTATTTAGAAATTAAATAAACTTTATATATTTATAATATAGGAAAAACAATTCTCACAAGGAATACATGCACACCGCTGGGTTTTCCCTCTAGTGACAGTAGGTTTTCCCTCCAACACAACATCCTATTAAAGCAAAAAATAAAGACCCAAGTATATGACATTGCCTCATATTAACCACATGTGATTGCACATATACTACAATATGGTTTTGTGCCATTATTAAAAAATATATTCCCATGAGAAAAGGGCCTGATAGGCCACATTTTCAATACCTTTGGGAACGACAAAAAAGGTACATCTTGTCAAATAGGATAGTGTATATGTTATTGTGAAGAAAGGCCGTTTGGGTATATGTTATTGTGAAGAAAGGCGGTTTGGGCATCAAAAAGTTGAAAAAGATGAATATTAATCTTCTTATGAAGTCGTGATGGAGATACAAGTCTCAACATAACGTATTGTGGTATGATGTGCTCAGATAAAAGTATGGGGAAAATTACATTGTTGGACTAATTAAAAGCCCTCGATTTAAAGTTAACTTGCTGTTTATTTGGAAGGCTATTGCTTATTGCAGGCCCTTTTACCTACAACATAGTCCTAAGCTTGTAAGCTTGTGGGTAAAGGGGAACATATCTCCTTTTGATGGGATAGATTACTTAACAAAGTGGCCTTCAAAGATGCGTTCCCAGAGGTCTTTTCTAAGGTGTCAAATCCTCACGCCTGTCTTAGGGGGGGGGGAGGATACTTAGCCTCAACAGTATATGTGTTGCAGGTACAGGAGAATGTCAAACTCTTTTATTAATGAGTTTCAGCAATTAATGGACTTGTGTCAATCTACTCATTGGTGTCCTTCTAAGAATAATACTCTTATATGGGACCTTACAAATTCTGGGGCTTTTTATATGACGCTTGATTGGGAACGGGGTAGAGTTGATGAGTTGAATCTCGATAGTATTTGGAGCTTGCACATTTCGTTTAAAGTACAGGTCTTTCTTTGGGTTGCTTGCCAATATACGTTGTCCACAATTGACAATCGTCGTAAGAGAGGCTTTCTTATTGTAAATGTTTTCATTCTTTGTAAAAGTGACAATGAATCTACTAGTAACTTATTCTTCAATGCCATTTTATTTTGAGATTATGGGATTGGAGTAGGCGGCTGTTAAATTTATCTATTTACCTCCCCTCAAGCTTGTGTGTTCTTTCGCTCCAATGGAGCTCACCGGGTCTCCCCAAGGTCCGTATTACTTTGGAGATCTTTGTGGCCTAGCATTTTATGGTGTGTTTCGAAGGAGAGGAATAGAAGGTTTGAAGGTATCACATTAGAAGTTACTACTCTAAAATCCAATTTATTGGTAATGACAACTGAATGGATGAAGATTTATAAAGACGGAAGATTAGTGACTTTTAATCAAGTGATTCTTAATCCTTTGGAGGTTTCTAAGAGTTCAATGGCTCCAATTAGAAGGCATGTGATTTGGAGCCTCCCACCGCTAAATTCCATTAAGTTAAAGTTCAATGGCTGGTTTTAGTGGGTTAATTAGATATTCCCAAGGAAGAACATTACTCACTTACTCAGGTCATTGTAGTGTGGCTACTGTTAATGAGGTGGAGACACAGGCAATGCTAGGTGTTCGATTAATTGTGAGGATGAAGGGTTATAAAGTTATCGAGGGAGAGTCTGCAAATATTGTCACTTGGAGTAAAGGAGAAGCCGTTCCTCCTTGACGGCTGCATCCATTTCTTGATGAAATCAAAGAAAACATTGCTTTTTTCAATGTCAAATGAAATTTGTTATTGTTTTCGTGAGGCCAATATGAAAGCAAATTCACTAGCTAAAGGGGGTATCCATTAACAATTTTTGGTGGTCACTGACCTCAGTTAATATACCTCATTTTGGTATCACCTTATATATTCTTTTATTTTGATTGAATTTTCATGGCTAAAGTTCAAAAAGAAAAAAAGAAGTGCAGGTTTCTTTCATACCAGAGGAAGTTATAGGAATGGTGAACGTCCAAAAAAGCAATTGGTTTGTTTTCCAATAAAACCCCCATTTTTGGGCCATACCACTACATATGGGTCAGATAGACACGGTTTGGAACGTCCGAGTGGGAACATAAACCCGAAAAAAACCCGTTGCTTCGCAATATGACATAGGAACCGTCCCATTATTCAAATCAGATGGCGGGAAACGTATGGCTGGTCCAGAATCTCTCCACACTCATGCTACGACCCCCTTCTCTCTTGCTGGTTCATGCATCCTCTTCTTTATAGAGCCCACGGTTAGGGTTTCGTCCATTTTTGAAGCTCGGTAACCTCTTTTTAAGCAGAAAATCTAGGGGTTTGGTTTTCCTACTATTTTCTTCCATTAAGGAGCACGCTGAGATTTCTTGGATTAAAAACTCTTAACTTGCCACCGATGCAAAGGATCATAGCAAATAGAGTTCTACGAAAGGAGATTCTTCCTCTACAGTTGACAATTTGACAAGGTATTAATTTCCAGAAATTTAATTTCATGCGTAATTTTAGTATTCTATGATATGTGTATGAAGAAATTTGACACTCTTGCCCTTTTTTCTCTTATTTTCCTTTAATGGTGTTTTTTATTCTATATAAAGAGGTCTTTTTGATGCGAGATAATAAAACCATAATAATAAAAAGAAAATGTTAAGAGAATATACCCTCTTAATATCTACAAGGGAATCCATCTCAAACATCTCTTGAAAAGACCAAATTTTTTTAACTCATTCACCAATTTACAATGAAAGGGCATATCCTTTTAAATAGACTAAAAAGAAAATAAACATTAATTAAACAAAAAAAAACCTCTCTACACGCACTCTCTTTTTTATCTCTCCTCCCTATTTTATCTCCCATCCCTATTTTCTCTCTCGCTTATCTTACGTACTAAGGAGATAGATCTCTCTCAAGTACCAAAGAGTTGGACATTGCCTTATTGTTCAATAGATAAATCCCCTATATTTAACCTTATCCAATTTATATTTTTATGTTTTAAAAAACTAACTAACCCAATTGATAAATATAAATTCACCTATAACATAAACTTATACCTATCTAATTATCCTGCTCACCTCCTATTTTTAAAGAGATAAACAAAAGAATAATAAAATAAAAATTAATTAATTTCTTTGTTATCTCTCCACCTTATTTTATCTCCTATCCCTATTTTCTCTCTCTCATGTATCTCACGTACTAAAGAGATAGATCACTCTCACGTACCAAAGAGTTGGACATTGCCTTATTGTTCAATAGATAAACCCTCTATATTTAACCTTATCTTATTTGTATTCTTATTTTTAAAAAAACTAATCAACCCAATTGATAAATATCAATTCACCTATAAAATAAACTTGTCCCTATCTAATTATCCATGTGGACCTCTTATTTCTAAAGAGATAAACAAAAGAATAATAAAATAAATTTGTTTTTTTCTTTTCACTGCATCACTTTTCAACTCATGTAATAAAATAAAAATTAATTATTATTATTTTTCACTGCATCACTTTTCAACTCATAACTTCAAGGTGAATAGTTTTTTCAGTGTATTTTCAATTTTTCTCTTTTTTTTTCTTCCTTGAAAGTTTATGTGATCTTCTGGGAACAATTATGATTTTGTTATAAGTTTGAGTTGCTTATATGTCAATAAAGAGGCCCTTCAAAGTAAAAAATTGTTTTTCTTGCTGTTTAAGGCTACTCAGAAAAGATCGAGTTTTAAGGTTTTCTCCAAGATTCAGGTTTTATTGTCTTATGAGTTTATTAAGCAGGATTTATTAACTATATTGGCAAAAGATTTTGGTTTTCATGCAATTTTTATATTATTATTCTTCTTGTGTGATTTTCTATGATATTTTACCTTTAATGTAGTTTTTAGCCTCTCTTTGCTAAGTTCAATTGCATTTCTAGGATACACCTTTAAACTTTGAGCAGCTAATATTGCAGCTCCATCATTCCCTAATATTTTTGAACAGTTATTATCTGATAATTACTCATAATCCTAATTACTGGAAAAAATTATTTGTCCAACGTACCAAAATAAAAGGTTGATCGTAATCCAACTTATTTTGCAATTGTCTTGTCTTTTGACCATTTGCTGGTCGTTATTTTTGTCAATATGAATATTTCATTTCAGTTTCTCTGCTTCTCTGTTGCATTTTTCATATGTTCTGGTTTCGAAATTGATGGTCAAACTGGGGGATCATGTCAGCCAACTAATAATACAGTTGCAAAGACCATTAATGTAGATTGGGCTGGCAATGGAGATTTCAAAAACATTCAATCTGCTATCGATACTGTTCCTGCCCCAAACTCTCAGTGGATTCGTATTCTCGTCAAAGCCGGGAACTACAGGTAATTAATCATCTCAAAACCGAGCATCTTCATATGAAAGAATGAAATCTGAACTTTTAGTTATTTTTTCTATTCATCTTTTATGAATTTGAAAATTGTTTGATAGTAATACTATCACTTTAATTGAAAAATAGTCATTCTTTATTTCCTCAATTTTCAATAGGTTTCAATAGGAAGCATGACACGAGTGAGTTTTTGACAGTCAGTATATTTCTCGATTTGCTGCGTTCATGTGGACAATTATTGCTTTGTGGCAGTGAAAAGATCAAGATTAATGCGAGCCAGAGCTGCATTGCTCTTGAAGGAGAAGGAATGGACAAGACCTTCATTCTTTGGGATGATTATGCACACGACAATATTTCCACGGTAACAAGTGCCACTTTCACTGTAAGGGCCACAGATTTTGTTGCCAGAAAGATAAGCTTCCAGGTATTACCAGCTTTTTGTGAACCTTCTTCCTATGGATCAATTTCTTATGAAAATTTCAAATGATCATTGTATCAACCACAGTAATCAAATACTTAAGAGCAGCCTTGTTAACACATCATTTATTGCAAACTCATGAACACATTGACAAATCATGATGTTGTAAACTCTTAAAATAGGTTATGAAACTCATCTCTTCAGCCTACTGAAAGAGTAAAAAGGAAAGAATTGAAAGAGTAAAAAGGAAAAATCCTCGTAACAGGTAATGCAATTTCAACCCTCTCCAATTCATATACTGAATCATATACTGAAAGGGATGGACAACTCCAATTCATATACTGAAAGGAATGGACAAGCAACAGCATCCTATCTCTGTATATAGTATCCTATCTCTGTATATTTAGCACGTATTCTGTAGTCCTATGAACTTTTGTATGTATTTCGTGTTCACATTTCTATTGTTTCAGTACAGAGGGGTTGGCAGTCTTCACAAATAATGAAAAGAGGAGCTTTCCGATAAACGGTTATATAATAAAAACTTGACATGAATTAGAGGATTTAGAAATTCTCTCTCTATTCATCAATAAATGAGAAAATATTTGCATCTTACTGTTTCTTTAAATGTGATTTCATTATCTGTTCCATCCATCTCTGTAGTTCTTTTGTAATAAATTTCTCATACCAAAATATATGGGAAAATGCTTTGCAATTTATATGTTTAGCTCTGCTTTTTCTCACATATTGTTTGCAAAACTCATTTAACAGTGACTAACACGTGAATCCATTGCAGAATACTTTTCCCCGTAATGTCCCTACACAGGGAGTTGCAGTTCTGGTTGGTGGTGATAGGTCTGCATTTTATGAATGCGGGTTTTACGGCTATCAAGATACATTGGCCGATTACAAAGGGAGGCATTACTTCAAGGACTGTTACATTCAAGGGTCAAGTGATTTTATTTATGGCGAAGGGCAATCCATTTATGAGGTATAATGTTACTCTAAACATCATTTTATTTTTGCAATTAGACATGGTCCATTGGCCCTTTTATAATTGAAAAAAATTTATATAAGGTGAGGCCCTAAACAATCAAATTAAGGCGCACCACAAAAAATCACTAGATGTGGTTTTGATGCCCATACGACATTGCAGAATTGTATGCTGTCTGTAGTTCCCACTCCCACTGCAAATTCTAATGGTTATCTGGCGATTACTGCTAATGGACGAGAATCAACAACAGATGGTAGTGGTTTCATCTTTAAATCTTGTCAAGTGTTTGGTTCTCGTCTGGTTTATTTGGGCAGAGCATGGCAGAAATATTCAAGGGTTATATTTTCAAAGTCGAATCTGACAAATGTTGTGGCTCCAGAGGGATGGAATTCATGGAGTTATGGTGAAGACACACAGTAAGATCTCTTATCTTCTCCATTATATTTACTTTCAATTGCCTCATTGCTTCTTCTTGTTTTTTTTTTCTCGTTGGTCCATAAGTAGCTTCCATGGGTTTGTGTAGGCGTGGCAACAGGCCAGGCCTGCACCGGCCCAACCCGGGCCCTAGTCCCCACAGGGCCTCCTGACTGCAATAGGGCTGAATGTGGCCCGACCCGGTCCTGGCCAAATACAATAGAAATAAACAACACAAAAATAATAAGGAAAAAGGGTCGTCCCTGGCTGGCCCTATTGCAGTGCCCGGCCCAGCCATGTCCCCAGTGGTGGCCAAGCCTTGGCCTGGCCCTCGGGCCACATTTTGTAACCCAATTGCTTGTTTTTTAGGCTGGGCCAACCGTACCGTGCCAGGTCATTGGGCCTAACAGCCCGAATCTTAACCTGAATTATTTGGTGTTTGAACTAAGCAACCATTTCTCAAAAAACCGAAAGTAATGTTGTTGAAGTCTTTTGAATCTTAAGAAATGACTAAAATTACTTGAATAATTAGAATCAGGGTTTAAAAATCGGTATGTGGCCTTATTTGCTTAGGCAATAGCCTCATAGCATATATCCAAAAGCTTTTCATCAAAAAAGCCTTCTAAAATATTTATTTTGGGAAAAGTTTATATAGAGCCTACACTCTAAACAATCAAATTAGATCCTACCATAAAAATTTCACTAGAAGAGGTTGTTTTGATGCCCAAATATCCTCAAATTGATCGTCTTGATATCAAGATGTATGGACTTGAGAAAAAAATGGATTTCAAGTTTTGAAAATAGTGCATCTTGTAACACATTTTTTTACTGTCAATTTTTAAGTTATTCAAGTTTTTATATATTTGCTCAATCTACACTATTTTTTAAGCTTTAAATTTTACAATTAAAAATGAAAATATATTTTAAGGCCAGTCAAAGATTTCCATATTAAAACCATATTTCTCGACACTATTTGGAGGTGGGCTCTAATTTGATTGCTTAGAGCCTCGGCTCTATAAAAACCACAACCATTTATTTTAAGAAATTAATCCTCATGAGATTCTATTTTTTGACTTTAGATCTCCCAAATGGATTGATTTGCACCTCTTTTAGAAACAAAATCTTAAAGTCTTTTTTCTATCATCGCCCTTCTTTCCGATGGTTTCTTCCCTCCTCGCACATTCTCCATGAAAACCAAAGGTATCTCAAATTTCTCTCAAAAAATCTCACTCTTCTTCTCTCGCATCACATTCTCCAAAAAATCCAACCCATTCTCCCCTCACATTCTCTCCCTGAAGCACTCCCAATTTTTGCATCCTCTCATATTCTCTCTCTCGAACTAAAATTAAAGAGAGAGAAACTCAAGAAGAAAAATTGAAAAAAACCCTAGGAATGTCGTTTCTTTGTCTTCTTTGATTTCTCGTCCTTCAATTTTTAGTTATAGAGAAAGCTTATAATAGAGGCAAGAATGGGGTTGGGTTTTTAGAGAGAATGTTTGTTATATGGACACTTTGAATTTTCTTTGATGTCGTGTATCGACACGTGTTAACACTTAGACCGTGTCGACACGCTCAGACACACCATTAAAACTAACGCCTCCAGAAGGCGTTCATCCTAGGGCTTGATCCATGGACTACTTGAAATAGAAGACCACATGCTATCATAGCACACCTTTACACTTAAAAATGCCTATAGGTGAAGTTCTAGTACTTCACCTATTGTTTATCACCGTCTAAAGTCCATCACACGGATATATGTATCTGATAATGTTTAAATTTTAATAATTTTTTTACAATTCAAAATAATATGAAATTTTGTAAAAGTGTGCGCCTTAGTAAGGCGCACCTGAATAAATATCAAAGAAATACTTTGGAATATAAAAAAGACCTAAAATGGCCCTATAAAATGTCAGGTTGTCTGTTTTTTTTTTGAAGATTATTTTTTTAATGTTTTATTTTTTTGCGAGTTGGTCATATATACACATGCTTCAAATTTCAGATAAATTTGACCAATAAAATAACCATTAAAATTCATACACTATGGGACAACCGTGACTGTATGATGGACTTTGGACAATGATATGCTGTAAGTGAAGTACCGTAGAATTTCACCAATAGGCATTTTGTAGTGTTTATATATAGGGAAATTATCGTTAATATACCTAAATTTTACTATAATAAAAAAAAAAACCCAAATTTTCAAAACCTCACCTACACCCTTTCTCACAATTTTTCAATTTTTTTTGGACCAAAATAACCTTCACGATAGTCTTTTTACCATAAAAAACATTATGGTAATTTAAATAGCGTAATAAGTTGAAGGAGTGTTATGGTAATTAAAATACCGTAATACCTTAAAGTAGTATTACGGTCATTTAATTACCGTAATATTGTCCACGCCTTATTAAAAGAACACAAAAGATTTCCTACTATCTCAGGAGTTTACTATCTATTTACTCCCTCGACAAAAATCCATACTGGCTGTATTTTTCAAATATCAAATTTTTAGGATATAATATCTACTACTTATAGAATAATTTCTGCAAAAGAAATTTTCCAAGTAAATTCTTCTATGTCTTAAAAAAAACCTTACACTTCAAGATTGAAAAGAAACTATCCAATTTTCAAAGAGCTATATTTAGGTGTCACAGAACTCACAATTTAATTATTTCAAAAATAATTTAATAATTTTTATATGGTTCTCAAAATTTTAGAACAAAAACATTCTTCAATAGGTGTTTTTGAACAAAGGAGTAGATCCACATCGTGCTCCCATGGGAACATGGATTTTTTGAAAATGATGGCTCCAAAGAAGACTATCGGAAGAGAAGGGTAGCCTTGATATTAGTTTCGGTTTGAAGCTTTTCAACCAATAGGGGGTTGGAATTGACCGAGAAAGTATTATGGTAATAAGAATACTGTAAAGACTTCCCCATACATTTCGATAATTAAATTACCGTAATAATAATTCAAACTACTATCGTATTCAAATTATCGTAATACTCTTTGAATTTTTTACGGTGTTTTAATTACCATAAAGCATAAAATGTATTACAGTAAAAAGACGACTGTGAAGGTCATTTTGATCCAAAAAAACTCGAAATTTGTGAGAAATGGTGTAGACGAGGTTTTGAAAAGTTAGGGTTTTTTTTTTTTTTGATTTTACTAAAATAAACGTATATTAGCAATAATTTTCCTTTGATATATATATATATATATATATATATATATATATATATAT